ACTCCGTAGGCGCACCGGACGTTACAAGTACATATTCACAAATTACATGATGATATTATATATATATATTTTGATACGATGATTTATCATGGCGTATTCACCCATCAGCGGCTTCGGCAAAGGGAGCATTAGGATATCGTTCTCGCATTATTTGGTACTGAATGCGTTGTGTAAGAGCTCAAGGACCTATTTTTGAGGCATCGTTGGTTTCCAAACTTATCGTTGAACATTCAGTTAGCATCTGGGTTACCTTCAGGAATGTGTCCATATCTTTCTCGTATAATTTGATCCTGAATGCGTTGTGCTACAGCACGAGGGCCTTGCCTGATTTCATTTTCGGCTTGCCCAACATCTTGTATTGGCATACCAACATTGACTTCATCTTCAACATAAAAACCATTTGCAGGCAGGCGGTAATGAAGTCGCATGTTATGCAGTACGGCACATGCATTAACGATATGTCCAGCAAACGTCGGATCATACAAACACACGTTGGTACGAGAGACATCTCCACATGCCTTTAAAACAGCCGAAAAACCGCTCGATTACATTCCTTGCTTTGCATAAATCAATTGTATACTGAAATTGTCGAGTTCCTGCACGGTATTGCGGCAAGGTTGTCATAAGCCACGGTTCCAGCGGATATCCAGAATCACCTGTTAGGAATTTTATGAAAATGTACGTTGCGAAACTGTGAAAATATACTCATATAAATACGTCTTAGTGTGTCGTGGATTATTCGAAAATGTACAAAAAAATGTCCATTTGTAACAAACGTCAAACTATTTCTGTACAGTCGTAGTCATTTACCGATTAACCACGTTCGACGCTCGCCCATATCGTAGTGAAATTGCATTGCCCGACGGATTGGAGAATTGATCCATATAAAGGAATCGTTTCTTGCCCCTGGCCATCTTGAATTGATATTGAGCAATTTCATATCTGGGTCTACTATCTGAAAGTACATAAAATTATTACCAGAAGTTAAATAAAAGTTTTTGATACTAATGTATATTACAAGTCAATTGAATTACAGCTTGCACATTCAACGAATGATTTCCATGATGGTTTACAAATGCTTCTTCGTGTTCTGTTGGACCTAAAATATTAATGAAGGTGCAATCAATTGCTCCGATTGCTCCTTCGAACGGCTGTGGTGCATTATGGAATTTTGTACGTGCCGCTTGGCGTGCTTCTCGAGTCATGGGAAATTGCACCCAACGGCGCAAGAGCCGCTGATTAATCGAAGTTGTCACTGCATGAAGACATCGGCTAACTACTGGTTAGCTTACATTGAAGTTGAATTGATCCCCCGTTGGTCTCTGATAACTGCCATAAGCATAAAACTGAATGGTTATCAATGTCTGCAAAAAACATCGTACAATGAAAATAGCTTAAATTTTCAGTTAGTATGACTATAAATCAAGAAGCATTGTCACATGAGAATATAATAATTACTTGTATTTCAGGAGATATACCAGTAGAACGTTGACGAATGAGATCAGGCCTTAACAAATTCGTCAATTCCATTGCAAGATCTGGACTTATGCGAAAAATATGCATGAATTCATTACGAGGGAGATCAAATGGATTCTGCGCGTCTCTCAATATTTTCCGTTCTATGCGCCTTTCCATTTGTCGCACTCTTTCTTGCAGTACCATAAGTTCCCAAATGAGGAATCCGACTGCCATTATGTTTCTATTTCTTTAAAATTATAAATATTCTTAGAATATAAGGTTTGTTTGAGTCGCAAACTCCAACATGCTCCTATCACATGTTCTATTCAAACGTGTTTGTTCGAAAGAGTACGATAGGAGCATGTCGAAGTACACAACGCGAACAAACTTCTAGTTAATAATTTTGAAACAGTGTTATATAACGATCGTTTCATGATCAATAACACAACCTCACTTTTCACTGTCAATATTTCAACAGCGCAAATAGATCTATGAATAAGAAAAAGTTGTTTCAAATACGTTGTTTATCTCTTACGCTTTAATAAATCAATAATAAATTCACAATCGTATTTATAACAATTATTTTACAAACGTGTTTTGAAATACACAACAACACATAAGCAAAGCAGTACAACACTTTTGGTACTACGTATGCTACCGAGCGTCGTTATACGTTAACGAGGGGTCCTGAACCCCTCGCTTCGATAATGGCCGCAATCGACGAATTTTGATAACTTAACGAATGCGATACCGTCAAAATTCGTTATCCGAGTCCTACAGAATACCATTTCTCGCTAACGCATCACTTCGGTAACTTAACGAACCGACACTCGTCGCTAGCAGTCTTAACGAGTTACAGAATAGGCCTGCAGCGCCGTCGTGAATGCCGCGATCACAACGTTGGTCTGCGGAGAAGCTACGACCGCCTCTTCTCACAATCTCCACGAGATGTATAATATATTACCTCGTCGTTGACGGGTAATATATCGGTTATTTCGTGTTCCGGACTCGTCAGCAAAGTTGCCAATCGCTGGTAATTTTTCACGATCTCGGTGTTAAGCAAATTGAACCGTTGACCGAATTTTCCCCAAAAGGAATTTAAACAGAGTTTTGCAACCGAACGTAGACCAGGATTTCGAGCGATGCTATTTCTATCGAGAACGATACCCTCGGTTTCCACGTATTCCCGAAGATAACACTCCTTAGCCGCGTCATCCTCGCATTCGTTCGGCCATCCGCTAGCTTCCTGCTTCAATTGCAAAAAATTATTTATATACTCGGTAAACAATCCACCCTGCCGTGTAGCGGGATCATATCGCATGACCTCGTATTGCCAAATTTCGCTCACTTCCGACACGCGATAACCTTTCTCGACGGCTTTGTGTAATTCACAGGATACCCAGGTACCCTCGAATTCACGCTTGGCGAGACTGTGACTACACTCAGTTGGCGAGAACGTTTCGCAGCAACTCTGGCACAGCGGCAACAACAATTTGCCACGTATGCGATACGGAAGTACCGAATGAAAGAGATCGCGCGGAGGAAGTACTTTATAACGAACGAGTCCTTCGATCGAACTGAAATCGAAATCCGGAGCTACGCCGATTAACTCGGAACATTCCTCTCCGATGTGCATCTTTAGATGACCAATCGGAAAAGTACCCGTTTTAGCAGTACATAAGGATACAGAGAACATACGTCTACGTAGCGTATTTTCTCCGTACCATAACTTCACATCGGGTTACTATATTTCCCGTTCGACCATCGAAAAATGCATCGCGCGGATCGAGAGGCGAGTTCTTTATTATCGGAACATTTTCAAGAAAATTTCGCATCTCGTTATTCTCTCGCATTTCCCGATCGAAATCGCACTCTCATTTTTCCATTACCTGGTATCCCTGTCGTCGAAGACGCCATGTCACCGCGAGAGTTCGTTCGTAGCGCTATGATCGGTGGACGAATTATTTTCGCGATTTATTCGATAGCATTTTGGACAACCATGCCAAAAGCAGCCGTGAAACTGCAACACGTAACGTCGCGTCTCGTTCTCCGATTCGATTTCGTAATATCCATCGACGGGAGTGCCAGCAATCCGAAACTCGCGCCATCGCCCCGCGTGATTTATCCGCTGATTGAACTTACGCTCCATCCACACTAACTGCACGGCTTTGCGCGAGTGATTATCTTTATATCTATATCCGCCCGCCGAAATGACTCCTATTTCCTCTCCGCGTAAAAAGTTTCTGCGAAAAACTTTTATACACGTAGAAGCGATAGTCGTGCATTCCACGAACGGACACACGTTCCCACGTTCAAGAAAGATTTTTTGGAAAGCCATGCACGCCCGTCGAAGGATATCTACGTAGTTACGACAATATTTAACTATTTCGCGTTGAAAATAAAAAATGAAGCCGGATTGTTTCATTTCGTCGTACCATTTTATAAAATGCTCGCGTTACTCGGGTTTCATTTGTTCGGGTGAATAATACCGTGCGCTAGGTATTGCCCCGATATACTATTGATGCTCTTTTGTATTGAACAAATGAGGAAAGATGCCCTTACCTGATTTATCTTGCAGGCCGAAAGCCTTAGGTAAATCAGATAATCGCATCGGCATATAATTTGAGCTATCAATAAATTTCGTGTTACCGAGCGTCATCACGACAATTTTCGTCTCGTTCAAAATCACTCATGGCTCTTGAGTTATACCGGATTGTTCTATGATGTATTTTAAGATGAATTGAGCGTCAAACGCTTTCGCGTTATGCGCGATACAAATTATTTTGTTAAAATATTTCGACGTTCGTGTTGCGAAATCTACGATTTCTTTTACCGGATCACGGCGAAAAATAAATTCACACACATCGCACCAGCGACATCACGTCGACATTTCTTGTATTTCCGCGCAGGTTTCACAAATTTGTTGCGCGATGCAAAGAGTCGGTATGTGTATCTTTACATTCTCCGCTCCTTCGAGCGTTTCATCTTGTCGAATTTCGAAGTCGTAGAACACGAACGCGACGCGATCTTTTTTATTTCGCGCATCATTCACACTTTCGACGTCATTCTCGTCATTTACTCGCTTCTCTTCTCGCAATGTCTCAGCACTCGTCCTCTCTCCGGGGGTCTTCGACTGTGACTTTACGACGAAGAGGCTGCATGTAACAAGATGATTCGAAGTTTGCAACGAGAGGCAAATTTTACAAAAGATAACGTCGCAGCCGTGACGTGGATTCGATTTCGCGAAGCGTCCACAGTCGTTGCAAACTCTAACGGATTTGCAAATCTCGGGATCGATTTTCCGTCGGGAGATCTTGCCGCACGATGACGCTCGAAACAGGAATTTTCGAAGAACGTACGATTACACGAATCGCACCTAACCAACTCGGCGCTGGAACCCTCACATGACGGAAACGCGTAACGTCGTGGACATTTTTTCGCGCAACGATGTTCTCTACCGTTCCGATATCCGGTGTTGCACGCCACGCAATACCCCCTCGAGAACCGGCAGCGGCTTTCATATTTAAAATTGGTTGATAATGCCATGAACGCTCGTAAAACATAATGTTTAATCGGAATGAAGGTTCACGACCTAGGGAAGAGAGTAACACGCAGCCGTCATACAACGGATTCTCGCCGCGACCAAAAGTACTGAAATTGTAAACAACTATCGCGATATTTTCCGCGGCGAGAAACCGTTGGAATTGTTCGATTTCACGAATTCCACATCCCTCCTCGAGAATCGTGATACCAGCAGAAATCGTTAATTCTTTGGCCAACTCACGTTATAAAGAAGAATGCTGGTGTCTCACGGATTCCCACCTTTCATGTAGTTCCCTACGCGCAACTGCCCGCGTTCGTAATGCACACGTGCTACAAGCGAATGGGGGAAACATAAATTGTCGGAATTGATAATTTGCAAAATTGAGTGTTTGGCTACGTCTTCGCGCGTTAATCGATTGGATCCACGACCGGTAGGTAGCGAAACTCTGAAGACTCGTAAGGTAAAATTTTCCGCGATATCGATTCCTCCAGCACTTTGCGCCAGTGAACTTACGAGTCCCCATATGTCCTCGTGGGTTAGGTCGCGAGATGGACGAAACGACAATCCCGCCGGACCACGCGCTAAATCAGCCGACTCGAACGATAACCCGACGAAATCGCTCGGTTCGCACGAATGTAGCGCGTACGTTCGGATTTCACGAAACGCGTTTTCTAACCATTGAGCGATACGACTACCCTCAGGCGGCGGACGTATCGCGAAAGTCGCCTCCCTCCCTAGAATCGCAAAATTCCTAAAGCGCTGCGAGTTTTCCGCCCGTAAATCTATATAATTAAAATTATTGCCGACCTCGTGCTGCCGACATCGTTGCTCCTGTTGCTGATGCTCCTGCTCCTGCTGTCGATATTGAGCTTGCCGAGGTGACGTTGCAGCCGGCGACGGTAGTGTCGGCGGCGGTGTCGGCGACCGCGTCGGCGATGGTGTCGGCGTTGGTGACGATGTCGACTGACGGGACCGCGGGGATGACGTCAGTCGTTGATCTTGCCTTGCGTTTTGTGAAGGCGAAGAAAGAGCGTTAGAGGATTGGACAGCATCACCACCTCCAATTTGTACTGAAAAGTTAAACAAAATCTTTATTTAAATTTCGTTGACTTTGCTATATTATACCTAAGTCTTATCCCGCTCCCCACGTGTCATAATGTAACAGCAAAGTAAGGTAACTCACCTTTAGCTGCTTCATATGATCGTGAATCGGGATATTTTTTTCGTTCGAGAACCCTCGCTAATATTCCGGCGACAGCGGTAAAACCGGTGAGTAGGAAACTTTTAATAGAAAAAATGTATGTTTAAGAAAAATTTCTCGAAACAACGGGTTAAAAGTGAACAGTAAAATATCATTACCTTCGACATAATTGTCTCCCTCCTCTTCTGTGACTTCTTCTTCCGTCACGTTCCGAGTCTCCGCAATTTCGTCGGCTGCATCATTGGCAATATCTTCATTTGTCTCATCAGCGGCGTCTTCGTTGTTCTCATAGTCGAAAATATTCGAACCATTTTCTTCTTCTTCTTCCTCTTCTTCATTTTCGCGTGCTAGAAAATAATTTTTACTGCTATTTTTCTTTTTTTCCAGAACTAACCCTATGTTCCGTTAACTGATTTTTTGAACTTACACGACAAAGAAATGACGATTGATGAGTTCCTCGATCGCTGCGAATCTCCAATGATATCGACACCACCATCATCATCATCATCATCATCATCATCATCATCATCATCATCATCATCATCATCTAAAATAAAAATGTTTTTAGTTTTCTTCTTATTACGGTAATATTATATGAACTATATTTTACAATGGATATTTTTTAAAATCGTCTTACCTATTTCGATGAGAGGGATACGTTGTACATTGGACGACGGTGGAAGCACCGCATTATTCGGCGGTTCGATTCGCGCTCTTCCTAGAAAAAATAAAAAATATTTTAATAAAGGAAATTTCCAGCATTTGATCAATATTTTTATTTTTCCAACTTACGTGCGGCAACAACCTCGTCTTCATCCTCTGCGTGGCGTCGTCGTCGCCACAGACTCAGAGGCCCACGTCGCACGTATTGCACAGGATTAACACATACCACTTGACGATTTGAAGCTATAAAAGAAATATTATAACGTAATTAATAATAATGAATCCTTTTTTTTTAAAAAAAAAAATATAAAATTTTATTTTGACAGGGCTTACCTACTCCTACCCCGGCGTTATTGATGATCCTTCGATGAAACTCATTAATATAGCCACCAGCGTCATCCTCCTCATGATGGAAATATTCACGCACTTCTATATGACGCGAGATTATTAGCGTCATCACCTCGTCACAGTGCCCCAGTTTATGCATAACACATAGCAGCGTACTGGAGCACTCTCGCGTAAAGTTTTCGAAAACTTTGTAATTGTTTTCGGTATTATCTGATAATTTAAATAAATAATCGCTTGCGATCAATTTTTGATTGAGATTGCAAGCGACTATAAAAAATTTGGACAGTAATTCACGAATCGCCATTTTCTGCACTCGTAACAAGACTTATAGAAAATATGTTACGGAAAATCAAAATAACTCGACACGACGAGAGCTAGAAGCAGAACTAGAGTTAAATTTCCAATCTGCGCACTATTTATTCACTCGGAAAAATACGTTCAAAAAGACGTTTCCCTACCTCCTCCTCCTCCTGAGTTTGTTCAGTTAGCAACTAAGGTTCTTCATATTTTTTGTAAATATTCTTACTTTGATTGACGAGTATTTCTTATTTGTTAAACCCTTTTCTAAGATAAATTATCCTTTTTTCCATACGGAGCAATCTACAAAAAATTTACTCTCTTTTCAAGTCACATTCCATTTTCCAATAATTTTTGTAACATGAATCAGATAGAGTCATATCATAAATCAAATTTGTTCCTGTTTACCTCTCTCCAGTCTCCTTTGAAAGGTTATCCCTTTTTTTTTCTTACAGAATAATTTAAAAAGAATTTTTTGCTTAATTTAAACAGAATCCTTTTTTCAATAATTTCTATATCTCAAAAGGTCGAAGTATCGTAAAACGAACTTGTACGTTCTTGTTCGTTCTTGTTTATCTCTTCCATTTCAGTCTTCTTTGAAAGTCTATCCCTTTTTTTCTTACAGAATAATTTAAAACATTTTTTTGTTAATTTATAATAGATATAATCCTTTATTCGATATTTGTATAACTCAACGGTCGACGTAACGTAAAGCGAACATGTCCGTTCTTGTTCATTCTTGTTTTACCTCTCCCTTTCAGACATTTTAACGGAAAAATATAGAAAAATCTAGGTTTTTTGTTTTTTTCTTCTGCGCGCGCATAATAATTTTTTATTAAACATCATCGGAGA